TTGATTCATATATTGGAATTCATGCATTTCAATCTAGAGGAAAGTCATCCCTATTAGTGGCCATACAATACAAAAAAGTATTCAAGTCAACTCGTTTATGGATTGGAAGTGCTCCCAACATATATGGAAGATAGATAGATACGAGTTTCCGTGTTCCGGAAGAATTATGTTGACTTTAATTGATTATATTATGTAATCAAGATGCAATGCTACATCCATTTACCAAAAATATTTAAAATTATCCATCTACTTCACATTTTGGCGTCTTTCTTTCTGCTTTGCTATTGTTATACTATGATTGGCAATATAAAATTTGAGTGGCAGGCACTCGCAGACAAAAAAACATAAGAAATAGGCCATTTTGAAGCATCGTTGTTCTCTGCAAACTTAGAATTAGGTCCTTGCCAAAAAAAAAAGATTATCCCATGAATTATTACCAATAGAGCTCCAGCAAGGGTGGAGGTTGTCAAGGTATTTACATAATTAATTAACTACTCTGATTACTTAATCAAGGGCATGGGATTACTCCATTGAGAGTGTCGATTTCAAGATCACTCAGATTGGATGAAGCAAACGTGTGCGTTTACCAAAGAATTGTAATAATAATTATTGGTGGCCCATTTAGGTATAATGGTTCCAATAACGATTGCTTTCCACTCTATATTAGCACCCATAATTAGACACCCTCTCATGCTGGTCCACTAACTACAAAGATTTTAAGTTTGGTATTCGATTAATACCTTGTAAAGTCATAAGAACCCCTTAGCTTCTGTTAGTTTGTTATAAAGATTTTAAGTTTGGTATTCGATTAATACCTTGGGAAGTCATAAGAACCACTAACTACAAAGATTTTAAGTTTGCATTTTGGTCTCTATATTTCTAATTTCTTTTCTGCTTTGGGGCAATAAGGTTTTTGGACTTTAGTAAAGGAGCAACTTTCAAAATGCACCGCTAAAGGTGTTATAAAGACTGATCCGACTTGGCTAGTCTGATCGGTTGATCCTAAAATTGAACTCTCAATCAGTTTGGTTCAGGTACTGGACTGTTTATGGATATGATTTGATATAAAATCGGTGAATCGATCCCGAATCAGGTTCAATCGGTGTTAATCCGGCACTAATTTTTTTTTAAAAAAAAAACTAATTTTGTGAAATTTTGGACAAAATACTTGAAAAATACCACCAATGGAATTTGAATCTTGACCAAATAGATTATAACTTACAATATTTATCACTAAACCAACTTTATTTATTGGTTATAATTCTTCTAATTTTATATTTATTATATTTTATTATATATATTTAATTCAAATGATTGTACCAATAACCTATTGATTGCACCGATGACCCATTAACTCAGTACATTAGCCAAATCGATAACCGGTTCAAATTTGATAATAATGTGCTAAAGTGATTCTTTTCAGAATGCCAAAAAGCACCTAATTGGGCTTCGTAGAGTCCATATACAAGGATCTCATTCAAGTTTAAGGATATGTCCATAAAGTATATGATTGACAGGAGAGGAGGTAATATGGGTTGGCCCGCCCCGACCAACCCCGACCTGCCACCAGCGAGGCGAGACAGGTTGACCCACCTTTGAATGTGGTTCAAAAATTCAACCCACCTTGTTTATGGTAGGTTGGTGGGTTGGCGGGTCAACCCGCCAACCTGTCATTTAAAAAAAAAACTAAAATTCAAAAATAGATTATATTTTACAAATTTTTAATATTACTTAATTTTATTTCACACTTCCCTTAATTTTGTCCAATCTCAATTTTAAATGTAAATTAATATTCAGTCATACATTCTTTAGTAATTCATTTTTACCTTTATATATGAATAACTTTTATCATAAATAAAGTTTTTTTAGGGGAGTATTAAGATAAAAAAAATTGGATATCACAAAAGCTTAATGACAAATAAAATACTACCTAATAGTAAAAAAACAAATGACCTAACGGACCAACCCGCCCCGACTTGCCGCTAACCCATTTTAACCCACAACCCAGCGGGGCGGGTTGGTGGCTTGAGATGTGTAACCCAACCCGCCCCATTTTGGTGGGTTGACCATATTGCTAAGGATGGCAAAAATGAGCCAATCAGTCGGGTTTGCTCGTAACCTGCATAAAATGAGCTGGGTTGGGTTGGCAAAAATGAGCTGACAACCCGAGCCAGCTCGAAAAAAATTGAGGCAACATGCGAGTCAAATGGGTTAGCTCGCGTGTTATCTTGTTTTTTATTTATTAAAAAATACAAGGGTATCCTTTTTTTCTATTACATAGTAAGTTGGTAACATGACACACTAGATATATACTTTATATATACTTTAGCCGTTTTAGTTCCTGTTAGATGAAAAATGCAAGCACTTAAGTATGCATAGGTGCTATATTTAGTGTATTTAGTTGCTAGTAAGTAGCGATTATATTGAGTGTTTTCCTTTGCAGTAAATATCTTATATCAAATGAAAATTCACGACATATATTGGATGAGTGCGACAAAGGTATTTATTTTTTCTATTTTTTTAGCCCAACCCGCGAGCCAACTCTAACCTGGCTTGGGTCGGGTTGAGTTGGGTTTTCTGTTTTTTTTTAGCTAATCCTAACCCGGCTCGATTTTTTTGGGTTGCAAACAAGTTGGACCGGGTCAACCCGAGTTGGCCCGTTTTGCCATCCTTATATATTGCCACCTCTAATTAAAAGGGTATCTATCCTTCATTTAATTTAGGTAGTGTTTGGTTCGGGATAAAAAATTTTTTACTAGGGAAATGTAATTGATAGGGAAATGGTTGGAAAATGAGTTTGGTAGGAAAATGTAAAAAAAGTTGTTTAGTTGACCCAAATATTACCAGGGAAATTTATTTAAATATGCAAAATCTATGTTCGGGAGAAACTTTGCACCTGTTTTTTCACTTCCCCAGTTATCTCAAAATACCACATCTCAAGTGGTATTCTGTAACAGTGAATTTCATCCAAAAATCAACACAAAAGTCATTTTCCCATCTATCCTATTTGCCTGGTATTTCTTGAAAAAACCTGAACCAAACGTGGTATTTTCCAATATTCACTTACACTTTCCCATCAATCCCAAAATAAACCTTCAACCAAACACTACCTTAAGGTACCGTGCCAACTCACTTTGAAGAATCCTTATCCTTATTTTTGTGTCTTTCTCTTCCATGAGAGAAGAAATATGAAAACATCCAAAATCCAAATTTTGACTCTATAAATTCAGCCTTTCCCCCTCTAGCTTTTAAGCTTGTCATGAATTATAGGTGGCATCACTAAATTTATTTTGGCCAAATAGATATGTATTTCATGCGAATGAATTTTTTTATGTTAAAATTTTACATGATCTGGTCATATGTAATTTTTGTATTATTTCTCTTTTCACATACATTAAATAGGTGATGTCTAATTATAATTAATATAAAAAGAGTTAGATACAAAAAATTCACATGACCCTCTCATGTGAATTTTTGGTATGAAAGGATTCATTCTCGTACTCCACAGCAGTGGGCAAAGTCTAGTCCCGAACTATGGATAGCAAAAATTTATTGAAAATAATTTGGTAGGGAATGGTGGGTCTATTATTCTTCTCATCCCAAAGACAATATATCAACTTACACCGATGTAATAATAAAAAAATTGTTTCAATATTAATCATTGATCGACTTGGATTCAATGACTCACAAATCTAATAAATCAGTGCTATTAAATATATGAAGGGTCCCTTTTTTCTCTTGTTGTAGGAGAATTATTTCTCCTACTGTAGACACAAAATGTGGTTGACCCCACCACCCATTAAAAAAAATTGTTGTACACAATTCGATATTTCACTAGTAAGAGAAAGAATCTCTTACGACATAAGAATTCTTTTCCCCATATAAGAAAGATCACGACAAAGATTGAAAATATAAATACACTTGTATATATCTTTATAGATATATTCTCCAAATGATGATGCGTGAAATTGTAAGCTTTATATTGCAAATAGTTTTTGAAATAATAGCTTTTTATCTTGGGAAAAACAAGTATAATGTTGTAGGACAATTCTCTTGTCATGTTATAGAGACAATAAGTGTGGGGTCCACCATGTTTAAAATAAAAAAAAAAAGAAAAAAAAGTATAGCACAAATATCGATGTATGTGTAGGAAACTTTGCATTTGTCATACAACATGACAAATGCAAAACCCTTTTATCTTAGGGAGGCCACACAGGGAAGAAACTAGAAGCAAGGCCTACAGTCCACTTATGCGCAGAGGCCCAAATAGGTGTTTGCCTTTCAATGGGCCAGCCTGGAGGTCTACACTGTTTCTTCCTTACAGTTAAAGTCCTTAACTTCAGTTTTTCAACAAAAAAAAAAAATGTCCTTAACTTCACTCTGTCAGAATCTCGACCTTTTTTCTTTTCTTACACTTCCGAGGACTGTTAAGAAAATTCTCACCGCATTTGACATGGAAAAATAAAAATAAAAATTCACGAGTATTCATTTAGAGAGGATACTAACCCCTTTTTCAAGTTTCAAGTCATTTGCAACATTATATACGTAGTAAATCCAAAAAATTCTTGGCTGGTAAACCAACACAAGTTTTTTCTTATGTGTAGTGATATATAATGCAGGTTGTTTTAAGCTTCGATGTTGGCACATCCAATATCACTATAACCCCAAAAGCATATAGAAACTTGAATAAGGGAAAAATAACAACTTTTTAAGAACTTAATTGAGGTTTCTTTCTTTTGTACCTAAAAACAACTAAATATTCTTCGAGACCAAAAGTTTATAATCAAACAAAACTCAATACATGTAACATCGATTTCATAGGGTAGATTATTAGTCTTGAAGATATTTTTTTCTTGTCATATGAATTTCACTATTTGACCTATAGTATTTGGTAATTAACATCAATTGCACTAAAATCTCTCTGGAATACTATGCGGCCGAACTAAGCAGCAAATTTAGAAAAGGTACGTGCATTTTTCCGATATTAATTGCAGCTAAAAAAATAATAATAATCATTGTAGTATTACCTGGATGAATGTTAAAGAATATTTAATGATATCTAAAATCAATCTCATACAAAGTTATTTTAACGGGTAATTCAAATGTGGCAGTACCATACAAATGCTGTACATATGCCTCCTCTACTTTCGTTGTTGGTCTCTATTGCAGTCTTTATTCTCTAGGTGCTCTCTCTTGAGAGCAGTGAACTTGGCAGCTATGTCATCATAGTCTGGCAGCTTAGGATGAACATGATTAGGATGTTGAGAAGGACATGAATATGTCCTTAACATCTTATCTTTGCTGTTTCCATGTCGCTCTTGGGGCATTGTCATGGCCCTTGAGTAGGGAGCTTCTGTTTCTATTCTTGTTAAGGAATCAGTAGTCCTTGGATTGGAAACATTGGGGGAAGAAGAGATCTCTTCTTTTATTTCATTGTTTCCATTACCACCCTGGCAATCTTGGTTGTTGAACACATGATTATCAGCTACACCGCTATAACTCTTCCTATTTGATCTCTGGGGGATAGTAACCAATTCTTTTCCCTGTTTCAACTCATCACTCCAAAAGGGTTGGCAATGACAACATTGATGAACTCCTTGTTGAACTTGTGTAGCTCTCATTCCTCTCTTTGGCTTCATTGATGGAGCTTCCAAACAGTCTTTATCATCATAAAGGCAAAGATAACAAGGCTGGTCCAAACTGCAGCTGCTCATTTTAAACTTGAAAATTTTTCTCATTGAGGAATCTTCCCTTTGAATTGACTGTAAAATATTTTCCTTTTCTAAGAAACTATGTAGCATCAGTCTCTTCTGGGCATAACTTGGTTGAGCTATTCCTTCTAGTGAAGGCTTCTGGTGTTTTCTGCTGTAATGAGTACCATGTTTATGAGAAGAGCGACTTCTGCATGGCTTGTGATAATATGTCATGTATCCAATATCCATAATGCATAGGTTTTCCAGGGAGGCTGATCTCCTTCTTGATCTTCTCTCAGTTGACGTTTTGCTCCTTCTTGGGGTCCTTATGCTTGATTTCTCACTTTGTGATTCATCTTGTTCTGTATCACTTTCATCATAATCAAATTGAAAATTTTGTCTCATGGACAGACCAAAGGATCTGAACTTAAATAGCATTTGGTCCTGGCAGGAACCATCTTTTGGTACAGAAAACTGACATTCCTCAATGTCATCAACATAATCTTTTGCTAAAGCCATTCTTTTCCCCTTGATTTGCAGACTAGTATTTATAGAAGAAAGTAGCTCAGGAAAGTCTACCTCTACTACTTTCTTTTGCAAAGGACAACTCAGGATATATGGGGGATATTGTTGAACAGAAGACACTATGGCAGAAGTATTAGCTAAGCTAGATTCAGGTAGAGAACAAGAGTCACTTGGTTTGGGAATAGATGAATCAACACATGTCATATCTCTTTTTATCTCTTCAGCTTCTGAAGGGTGGACTTTAGACCCTTCATTTGTGTAACTTATTTGGGCATCACTTTCCACTAGTTGATACCCTTTGTCTTCTTTCACCTGTACAAAAAACATTCAACATGAATTTGGTACTAGTAAACAAGAAGATTATAAATTCATTAATATCACATTGAAATTAGTAAAGAAGAATAACCTGCACTTGCTTCCAATCGGGGTAGTATTGTATGGCTAAAACCTGTTGTTGGAGGCAGCTATCCCTAGCTATTTCATCCACCACTCTGTACTTCAGATCATCCGGCACATATTTCACTGACAGGTTCTCTTTTAACTATGATTTTGAAATTCCATGAATATGTACGCATCATTAACAAATATGGAATTGCATCAAATGCAAAACTATACTTTATTGGGATTAAAAAAAAAACATGTTACCTGTTTGTTTACAAGATTCCCTGGACATAGCTCCACTGCTGTAGTTACAAACCTCTCACCATAACGCTGTCCAAATAGCTTCCTAATGACAGAGAGTTCAGGAAGATCCCCACATCTTGCTGAAGCAAATATAAGGCTAGAAATTGCTTCCTTTATATCATTTGGACAGTCCCTGATTTTGGAAAGTTAAACCATCAGAAATTTTGGAAATGGTGAAGGGTGCCAAATGTAATTGATTTAGATAGGTAGAAATCTATTCATACTTGTGCCTTCGGATATAGGATAGTTGCGTAAGGATAAATTCACAGAAGTGATCTAACAATTCATATGCAGCAGCCAGGCTTTCATCTTCTATGAGCTGCTCAACCTGAAATTTTGAGAAAAATCATTGGTAAGATTTGGGACAGCAGAGAAAATGATCAAACAGTAATGAGTTATGTTGCTAAATAAGAATACCCAGTAATGATTCGTATTTTCATATCTTAAGCATAGAGTTTCGGAATTCGTCTAAAATTTAGTTCAAGCTGTAATTAAGTATAATTCTATATCTTACTGAGATTTTGTGCATAGTACTTTATCTTCAGTGTATTTTACCCCCAATTCTCCCAATATGGCTGATGTTAGAACAACCAGGGTGGACTTTATTGTCTACATGGTAATAAAATACATGATTATGATTTCATACCTTTAAATTACTATTGTGGTGGATGAAAGCATGGTGAATTGTTCATCGTGAAAGGCTGAAGTGGTTCTATATCATTCATCAATCAATATGAGCAATATTTATAATTACATCTTGAGATTCAGTATAGAGATTACAACAAAGTAAATCCTATACAAATACTACCACAACACCAACTCTAATGAGGGTTTGAAGTATACACAAAAGCTACAAGGGTTAAACATGCATACACAAGATATATACGTAATATACATACTTTCAGTAGTAGAGATTACAAGAAGAAACTAGCAAACTAGTACAAGATATACTGAACAGTTACAACATCTCCCAACAAAATCGATGGAAAGAAAACCCCCTCTTACTAAAAAAAAAGGATATAAAGAGTATGATATTCATACAAACCCGGTTAATAGCAGTTTCTTCATGGCCACTTTGTATTAGCTCAGCCAAGTCTTTTCGCATTTGCTTCACTATTGCCTGCCTCTTGTTCTTGAGTATCCTGAGCCTGCACCTTGCTCTTTTGATAGCCTTCTTACTGTAACACAGTAAAGCCAAATAAAAAATAAGAAAGTTAAACTTGAACTCATACATATTGATTGTTATGCAAAATAATCTCAAGTTTTCAATTTACATAATAGTATAGTTACCATTTTGAAGCTTTGGACCAACCGAAGAGTATGTCAAACATATCTAAAACTTGATAGCAGTGTCTGAATTCATTGGAGGTAAAGATAAAAACAAGCTTTAGAGTTGAAGCAGGATAAAGAAGAAGCCAATAAAACAAAAAACAAAAGATGGGAAGTTAGAAGTTGGACCTGATGAATAAGAAGCTTGTTGTGGACACAAAGAGAAGATGTAGTAATGAGCAAAAGGTGATGGAGGATCATGGAAGAGTAAACTGAAGCACCACTAATACAGTTTTGTGGAGATAATCTAGAGGAGAGTGGGTTGACTGGGAGAGAAGAAAGAAGGAGACACTTGTGGTCTCCTTGGAATAACTGTTCCACTCCACTACACCAGTTTTTGGGACACTTGTCAGTTTTGCAAATTGATGTAAATTATGAAAACCACCCTGTTGAAAAAAACAAGTTATGGTTATGAAATTATCCCACTTCACATTCACGATAGCCATAACATATTAGATAAATTACAAGCTCGCTGCAATTATGCACTCCAAGTTTCTAAATATACTCCTATTTATAATGATTAATTAATTTTTATTCCTTGTTAATTACTTCATAACACTAATAATTAGTATTTTGACATTTCCTAACATTAAAAATGTGATATACAAATTAATACTGATGTATATATGAAAACTTGATGCCGTCTACAAATCAAATTCTATGCTGTGGTTTAAATTGTATTGCTTGGTAAAGAAAATTATTCCAAGTCGTGCAAAAGAAAAAAATGTATAGATTGACCCTTTCGCTTATAGTGATAGACAGAGGCGGATCCAGATACATGATAAGGGAGACAAGTCTCCACTCTTAAAATATGATGTAAAAATACAAAAATATCTTTTTCTTAAAATTCCAGTTTTTTCAATTTAATTTCGGGGTAGGATATTATAATAACGGTTATATTTATTTTTATCTTTGTATGGTTATGATTCTCTGTATTTAATACTTTATATTTATTTTCACCTTTGTATGATTATGATTTTCCATATTTAATGTTTTTACATTAAATATGAGGATCATAACCATACAAAGATGAAAATAAATATAATTGTTGGATCAACATAATCGATCTAAGAGTGAAATTGATTGGTAGTAACCCTAATTAGTTGTTATAATATCCTACCCCTTTAATTTCCCTCATTCTATTTTATTTTACCGTAAGTTTTTTTTTTTCTCCTCCACCTTCATTATCCAAACCTAATCTAGATCTAGATCTAAACCATACACAGCCAGCCGGCGGCTGCTCGCAAGTCGCGTTCCAAATCAGACCTAGATCTATATGTACTTAAACTTATTGAGTGTTCACCCTTCGTTAATTTTCTGGATTCGCAATTGATGATAGAATCATACTAATTTTTTTTTCTTTTTAACACAAAAAAATTGTGTTATATGTTGAAATTCGAATTGAGACAAAGATGTGTCCCTGTCTCCCTGATATATAAATAAATATGTTCACCACAAACATAAGTCTTAATAGTTAATGACATAATTAATACTTTAATTGATAATTAAAATTGGAATGTTGGGTTCATTGATGAAACACACAGTCATTTCAGAAAAACAAGTAAGCACGCGCAGCAAACGCCCTGAAGTGGTACAGGGGAAGCGATTGGTATCATTGTACTGAACCTTAACAAACACGCACTGACACCTAAAACCTTATTGTCTATTAGCCAATGACATGTGTTGTCGGGTAGCAGTAAAAAAATTCTAGACAAACAACAACAAACACAGTGCTTCAAGAAACTAATCTATGGTTTGCGTGGTTGTTAGCGTTTTTGTCAAAGCAAAACAGATAACCAATTCAACCCACTTATTTTGCACTCCGTTGTACGAAAATCTAGGACGTTCACCAATTCATGTTACCGCATGCATAGGTTCACCACCAAAGTGGGGTCCTCATTTTGCTTATGCGTGCGGCCGTGGAGAGAATATTGGAAGATTTAAAAAATTAAAAAAAAAGGAAAGAAAATAGACGAAATCACAAAGGATAATCATCATCTAACACAATTAGTTTTTATTATTTTAATGTCATTGTCAAGTGACCAAAGTTAAAATGTACAATTATTAGTTCACAATGTGCGTATTTTTTAATCCTAGGCAGCATCTCATGGTGCATGTATGATGTTCTTAGGATGCACTTTAGGTGGTTGTTGTTAACTTGTTTTGCGTGAGAATCGTATATGTGCTATTCGTTTTGCGTTGGATTGTTCTGTTTTCTTCGTCGTTTACAATTTAGGGACTGAACAATTGGATAAGGAATAAAGTTAGGTTCAAACTTTATGGGTAAAGTATTATTTCTTTCATTTAAATGCGAGAGGATTAGAGGGAGGTTTTTTTTTTTTTTTTTTTGTTACAATGGGGCCACGGAGGTATGAATTTATGATCTCTATCAAACTACATTAACCCTTCACTACTGGCCCATTAGTTCTGCACATCATCAAAGGTTACTCAAGATGTTACCCATGAAACACCCAAGCTAATTTATTCATATAAATTCACCAAATTATATGGGACATGAGGCCTTAGTTATAATGACCCCAACTGGTAAATTTTAATTAGAGATTTAATTTAAGAATTTAAATGCCATAATTAAATTCAGAACGTGATTTCGAGTAGTTTGACTGTAATCATACTAGGTCATGAACAATGTTTTCTGTCGGATGATCTGCATTATTGTGAATCAACCGGTAAAGCTTAAATGAGCAAAATGAGTTTACAGATCTAATTTAGCAATTTTGATGTCAAATATGAGTTCAGAACGACAAATTGTATAGTTTGTCATTTTCTGTGAAAATCTCATGAATTGTATTTCTGCCGGATATTTTGTACTGCTGCTTAAGCAACTAGTAGAGTTCAGAATTAAATAATTGATGAAATAAGATTAAAAAAGTCCAATATATGCCAAACAAGTCATGTTTAGACCAAAAGTGTTAAGTTTATAAGTTTACAGTTTTGTGTGTAAACTGTGCACAATAAATGGTTCACAGTGCATTTCGTCAAAAAAACGGTGCAGAAATCATATTGCGAATTTAAAATACTATACATTTGGGAATAAAAATTAATATAAATGAGTTCAGAAAAATAAAATATATTTGTAGCTTTAAGTTAATGCCCGAGTTAATTTAAGTGAAATTAAGTGAGCGAAAAATAACCGGTAAAAGATTACACATCATTATAAACTTAAGTTTTCCTCCTTAGTCACTATTCCAAATCAGAACCATGATTATCTCTCTCCAGGCAGCGCTCTTCCATGGAAGCTTGTCTTCAAGCTTTTCTTTTCTTGATTTCTTACTCAAACAATCACCAAATTACAAAGTGTTATACATGAAACTTTAAGTAGAAATCGTTGTGAATCCATTCCACCCATTTGTTTGGGATGAAAAGGCTTGTGTAAAGAGCTCTCTCCTTCTCAAATTTCGGTCACTATTCATCCTAGAGAGAGAATTGGGTTTTTGGGTGGAACCAAGCTTGGATTTTGTTCTCCAAGGCTTGTATAGTTGATTTGAGGTAAGAGATCTTCATTCCATTGGTTTAAATATCATGATTTAAGTTTTGAATATTATGAGCACTTTTTGTGGAATGTTATTGAGTTTGAAAATTGAAATTTATGATGGATTAGTGTTGTTAATGAAGTTAGGATGTGAAATAAGCATGAACATGTGTTTAAAAATTGAAAAAAATCCCCTTGGATCACTCGGTGGGGTTCGGCCATATTGGGCTTTTTGGGGTTTAGTGTGAAAAAAATTAAATTGCATAATTGTGAAGGATTATATGTATGTGAAAGTGTGTATAAGTGGTTAAATTGAGTTAATAAAAAGAAAAATCCATTGCAAAAGCTCCCATTAAATCCGGCCTGTAGGGTTGTTTGGGGGTTGATTATGTTAAAAATTATTTTGATAATGTGTGTAGGTTCCAATGCATGGCATTGGTATGATTTTGAAGTGAAATGGCTTAAGAAATAATGAGAGAGATCTTGGCTCCTTTGTATGTTTTCCATCGGCTTTGTGAACAAAAATAGGTCTATGTAGTTAAAAATTTTAAAGGGTATTTTAGAAGCTTGGTTAAGTCATTCTAAGACCCTATGTAAATATGAACAAGGTGGTTGCTTGTTGTGTGAATAATCATCCTTAATTGGTCTAATAAGAGAGCTTAAAGAATGTGGTATGAACTTGTGAATTGGCATATGATTGGCATTAGTGTTAAGAAGTGAAAGGAAATAATAAAGTGTATGTCTTGTGTAATTACTTGGCATTTTAGCATTTTATTGAGTTTTGTTTTGAATTCTTTCTCTAGGTGTGCCTTGGGACTGAGAGTCTTTGGATTCCTTTGGAGCTAAATAAGTCACTTGTGTTACGAGTGAGCAAATTGGTAAAGCTTCAAGAGGTAAACTCTATGTTTATGGAGTCTTTTCCTACTTGAGTGCTCCACAATGGTTAGTGGATTATGGTTGGATTGTATGACTTTATTTGATGCTTTGTATAGATGCATTCATATAGAGTTATTTGATAATATAATATGTTCTGTTCTGATGTGATTTATGTAATGATCTTTGACCATTGATTGTTTGTGCACTGATGTCTGCTTGGGGTCCTCGAGACTGACTGTGTACACTTCTTATATATCCTGGTTCTGCTTGGGGTCCTCCCTTGGGAACACGTGCATTGATTTTTGCTTGGGGTCCTCTCTTGGGAATGACTGTGTACGCCTCTGATAAGACATATATGTGCTTTGTTCAGTTATGATATCTGCTATATGATATTTTGTATACTCTGTATCTGACTTTCATGCAGGAGTGGGCCTAGGAGTATGGAGAATTCTCTATAAACTTGGAGCTTATTGAGATTTGTTATCTCATCCCATTTAGGGACATCATTTCAGGTGTAGAGACTGCCGGTGAGCCTACATGGGGCAGGGATACGACCAGTGGATAGAGGGCATCGCGGACCGGAGTTTGGGTAGCAATATGCTACTATTATTTTGAAGGATTGTTATTTTGCATTAGTATTCCATTCGTTTTGAGGATCATGATGTCTGATTCGTTATTTTGTATATGACATGTATATGTTTTGTACATATTTTCCGCTTTGATCCATGTACATTTGTGTATTCAGTCATGTCTATATTATGATGTAGTATTCAGTTATATGTCTACATGTTGGTTATGCATGCTGTTAGACATTGTGGCACGGAGCCAAGTTATGCATGAGCCCAAAGATGGGTATATGACTCATGATGGATATCTGATACTGTTGTAATGATAGATTATATAAATTGTTTATCAGGATGCCTTGAGAGTGGGATTCGTAAATCCCCATTTGTCCGAATTACAGACGGTAGTCAATCCGATTTTCGTCTCTGCCAAATGAAATTAAACTAGAAGAAGTATGCAATGTAATATATCATGTGAAAAGGATAAAAGAAAAAGAAAAAGTTAACTCGTATTTTCGTAAGTTAAGTCTTCCGCTGTTTCTATTAAGTATCATATGTTTGTAAATTGAACCGGCTCGATACGGGAATGTTAAATTAGTCTTAATTGACATAAATTATTCTGAAAATGTTCTTTTAGTAATTAAGAATGCTTCTAGATGGGTTTTTTTATGAAAGAAGTTACTTTTTTTTCAAAAGTAAAATTTCAAAAAAAAAAAGTCCTTTTGAGTTATTTTATACATTTGAATACGAACTTTATAAAAAAGCAGAATTTAAGAAAAAGGAAAAACAGTATTTTTTTTTTAGAAGTTAGTAGGAGTGTTCGCGGTCTGGATTGGAACAATTTTGAAAACAAAAATCATCTGATCCAATACCTTTTGTTTGATCATGTCATCATCCGCTCGGTTTGGATTTTTTTTAAATCCAATCCATTTTTTTATTTTGGATTGGATCGGTTTTCGATTTTTTTGAAAAGACTAAAATTTGTTTGATGATTATTGTGCAAATAACATATCTTTTGTATGTATTGGCTTTGTAAAGTTTTTTTTTTAAATACAGAAGCATTAGTAAACGATGATCTAATTTTTTTTTGAGCAATGAGATATGAAGCTCTACACAGACGAAACTTTGCTGATGGGGTGTGGTTAGATTTTTTCTTGGGTTTAGCTGATGGGTTGATGGGTTTTGGGTTTAGAATTTTTTGGATTATGATTGTGGAAAAATCCAAGTAGGTAGAGAAGAATTAATACATTGGATCGATTTTCACCAACCAAACTGAAAATCGATCTAATCCAATTAAAATTTGCAAGTTTTTTTCGATTTTCGATTTTTGGTAAATTTGGTTCTCGATTTTTCGGTTCGTTCACCACGGTTTGGATTGATTTATGAACACCCTAAAAGGTAGGATTTCTCGAATGATTTTTTAAAAATTCAATTTTATCTCAACTCCACTCCATCTAATCCATCCCACTAACACCGCTATCATCACTCACATATCTTTTTTAGTAATTTTATATATAAAAAATTCTTATTAATTTTAATATCCAAATAAATTTTTTATTTAAAAGTACTTTATGTATTTCATCCAAATATAAAATAGCTTTAACTTTTTAAAAAAACCATTCTAAATAGCAAGCTTTTAAAAAGATTTTTTTTTTTTATACCAAAAAACAGTTATTTTTTAAAAGCCCAACAAGCTCTAAAAGTTTAGGGGTGGTTAGACGCAAATGTTCCACTACAATCAGGATAAATCCCCAATCTTTTTAAGAATTTTTGGGATTATAAATCACACCACCAACGAGGTTCTCTTTGAAAATGTTTTTAGATAAGGAAAACAATATATTTCCATCTCAAAAGTTATAGGTATCATCACAAATAGAGAGGGGGGGAGGGGGGGGGGGGGGGGGGGGGGGGGGGGGACCATTGAAAGGTTTTAAGGGAGGTGAGACAGAAAAATCCAATATTGATTTGAGTTTTAAGAGATATCACCTATCTCATGTGAAACCCATCTATACTTTTGCTTTCTGGAAAAATATTAAGAAAAATGAATGTGGACGATGTCACAAGAATTAGTATTCACCTGAAAATAAACATGATTTTGAGACATACACATAATATAGACATAATGTGGGCCAAAAATCTGGATTATAGGTACTGGACTACAAATAGAAGTAGTAACTTAAATGAGATCAACGTTGATCTCAGATGTTGCAAATTTTAATGGTGTAGACTGTAATTCAGCCCTTTGAAACAGATTAACATAAGAAAACAATGTGTTTGCCTGTGCATATATGTTAGTTATGTGTATGAGCACACGTTATGCTCTTAGTTGGCATTAATCCTTGTTAATTGTCAGATTTCTGAAGGACCCTTGATACATAAGTGACAATGAGCATGTTCAAAATGATTAATTAGCTGACTGGCAGAGAAATTGAGCATGGAAATAGATAACATACAAGTGAAATTTGATAAGGTCATCCCAAATTCTTTGTTTGGTAATGGCAGCTTTAAGCTCTGTATTAAGTTTGCAGTGCGCATGCTTCTGGACACCATCTTTAATCTGTTAGAAGAGTGCTGATATGAAAAGTAGAACAAAGTAAATAAATAATTACTTGTAGAGTTCCTTCTTTGCTTCTCAGACCTCATTTTTTATCATTTCTTTAAGAGTTTAGGTCAATCGTTGTGACTAGTAACATACTTGAAACTTGCAAGTTAGTAATTAGCAAATTCAGTCAGGAATTGAGGTCCCTCAGAAAACTTATGATAATGAAATGAAAATAATATTGCGAACATAATTCAATAGAATGCATGAAAGAAGATATCCCCCACGCATTGAAACCAATTAGATTAAGAAAAAACTAATTTCCATATGGAATGAGCTAATCTAACTTCTACACATATATGCCACAAATGATATGGCATTTAAGATTACCTCAGGCTTGAAATGCAACTATAGAATTCTCATCCTACTTTTAATTCAAAGAAACACATTATCAAATATAGCTACTTCTGTGACAAATGTACTTCCTATGTGTTATGACCTCTCCTTGCAAATGAAGAATGTTACACAAAGAACCCGTAGCAAAAACTCTTTAACATAAATTCCCATAATCAAAACCAGTAAGCCACACCAGCACCAATTTCCTCTGCCATCCTCTTCTTCAATATAGCCACCCATATACACAAAATTAACAAAGATTCCAATTCATCATAGAAACAACCATTCAGAACTCGATTCCATAAGTGAAATCTTTCTTCTTAATATTAGGCCTTATGTTGGGTTGCAACTGATCGATAACCACTGTGCAATTTACATTAACCACAAATTTCCTCATATGAATGAAATCATCTATCACAAGCCTTATAGGAACCTTCACTGTTATTAACACAGGAATATTTCCATTCTTCTGGTCTTGCATAAATTGATTTTGCTTTTCTGGGCCAAAATCACTCTCCCCCTTCAACACAACATTGACCATGGTTGTGTTCTTCCCTGGTTGCAAGAAAGGAGGCATTTTCCCCCAGCAAAGTTCTGAGCCTGAATATATTAAGCTAACTGCATTATTTTCTCCATAATCCAAACCAATGTCTTTATTTGGATTCTCAGCTTTCACAACAACGGCAATTTCAGTATAGAGCTTATTATCTTTTCTGATATCAAAAGCTTTGACATCAAGATTTTCAACATTGTAGGTAGGTATAGTGGGCTTAACTAAGTAATATAAACCTACAACAATGGCCACCAAGATTAAAATGAAGATGAAGATGCAGCAAAAACAGCAACGGAAGCAACTCAGGCAGTAGCAGCAGCACCTTAGCAATCCACATCCACATCCTCTAGAGCCACGGTTAGAATGATATGGAACTTTACGTCCATAAGGAGGAGGCCCTCGATAGCTTTGGTTTTCTAACGAAACATATCCTTTAGGTACATAAACTTCAGATGTCATGGTGAATAATGATTGTGACAGTTTAATACCTCAGCTGCAATGGATGATGATAATAACCCTTTGAGCTTGCGGGCATTGTACATTCAACGACAAAGAGGAAAAGAATGTGTTCTTTCTCCTCTCCTTGTCCAGGATCTTTTGGACAGAAAGGAGGTACTTTTTTCTGTTTGTTCGTTTTAGAGAACCTTCCATTGGTTAATGATTTTGTTATGTATGTATGGACAAGGTTTTCTAACCAGGTTTTGTGGGGCTCAAACTGGTTTCCACAGTTTTTCTTCCACCCCTAAATATAGGCACTGGTTAATTAAGGTTGCATTTACTTGCTGATCTTTTTGCACTTAAGGTGCAGATTAAAAATTGGATATTTCATTCAGTTTACATGTACATATGTATTCTTTTTTTTTTGTTGGACATTCTATTTGTCTTTACCTCAATATGATTAATTAAAGGAAAGGCTCCTATAAATCAAAAGAACACTAATTATAGTCACGAAGTTCTTAATTAGCTAGCTTAAAGAGAAATCATACATAAAAATGTGGTGGAAATACAAAATAGATGCAAGATTAAGCACTATATTATATTATATACAGAATTAAAGGTACACATTTCCCTGCTTCCATTCCAGTTATGAACCACACAATAAGTAGTAAAAACTGGTTGCTTAATGGTCTTGGCAACCGTACACTCAAAGAAAGGCACAGATTGAAAAGAAGGACATACACATCCAAAAACAAAGCAAAGCTGGCTCCAAATTAGTGGGTGGAGATAGAGGATTTGGATCTGAAAGAACCTGCAGTAGTTTGCATAAACTTGAAGACACAGGATACAAATTTGTTGAGCTTGAGAACTACCTTGTTTAGCTTAGGTGATTTGGGCTCAGCAGCAAAAGTATCAATGGAAGATAACTTGTAAGTTGTGAGGAAAATTTTCCTTTGCTTGGCTCTTCTGCATCTATAGCTAATAGACTTGAGATTGAGAATTTTGTTCCTGCCACTGCCACTCCAAGCTTCATATCTGTATCTGCGGCTATAGGAGAGGGTGTTGTTGCGGATAAGAGTGGTCATGGTGCCTACAAACTCAGAGTCTGAGTCTGGTACAAAACACAACTTTTTTATTCCAGGTTTATGTTAGTTTGTCAACATTGTTTGGTATCTCCTTTTATTATGTTTTCTTGTCTTGTGCCGACCTTTTTGGATTGTTGGGTGTATACTTCTGCTGTAAAAGGTAGTTGACCATCATTTTCATTCTTTTTTTTATCTTGGTGGGCGCTTCTATAATTATTCTTTTAAATTAAAAATTTATTTTTCTAATAATGCCATTGAATAAACTTAAAAAAAAAAATTGCTTTAAATTTTAATGAATATTAAAACAACTATTTTCAAAGTTTCTATTTTTTCAGAATTATTTAATGAGAAAAGTATTTATCCTTTTAAAAAACACAATATCTTGTCATTTTAAGTGAAATAATATTGTTTTCTTTAATATTTAACTTAAAAAAATGATCAATAAACTCCTACTCTTTTTCACCATTATTTTTTATTCCGTGACAAGTTTTTCTTATCATAAAACATAATCATTTTATTTAAAATAATACAATTGTATTCTTTAAAAGGATAAATATTTTTGAAACAGTGACCAATTTGCCATTGTTTACCAAACATATAACCAGAATGTCATACAAACAGTACAAATTTCCAGAATGCCAAGTGTTGTGATTCACTACCCCTAGCAGCAAACTATGTTGGATGATGTGGCAGGTTTGAGTTGGCCACATAATTCGCACAGGTGCCAGCGAATTACATGGTCAAATGTCAGTCCTTGCTCAGACTGTGGCAGGACACGTGTCAGTCCCCTAGGAATTCGCTAGAGGGCATAAAAAAATACAGCTGTCTAATTCGCTATGACTCATAGCGAATTAGATGATGCTCTGACAAAAAAAAACACGTGTCAGACCGTAGGAATTCACTATGGGGAATAGCGAAGTACAGCTGTCTAATTCGCTATGACTCATAGCGAATTAGATGCTGCTCTGACAAAAAAAAACACGTGTCAGACCGTAGGAATTCACTATGGGGAATAGCGAAGTACAGCTGTCTAATTCGCTATGACTCATAGCGAATTAGGTGCTGCTCTGACAAAAAAAGACACGTGTCAGCCCCCTAGGAATTCGCTAGGGGGAACAATGAGCTTGGTATGGGTACTTTGCTATATGGTCCAGTGAATTTGGTACTATATAAACCTCTTCCACATTTCCTTTTCTGGTGCGTACCACACTCCTCCAAGTTTTCCTTTTATATCCAGTGATTTATTTCAATTGTTTCATCCTTGAGTGTTATTTTTATTTCTATTTTTGCACAATGAGTGATAGTAGGAATAATTTAATCGCCACTATATATTATAATGGGAGGAGATATTTTGGACCGACTGATCAAGTTTTTGAAAGTGATGCAAAATTATTTTGCATGAGCCCCCGATGCAATCTTAATGACCTGAAGAAGTTAATATACAAGAAGTTGATATTAAAACGGGGTCAAACTCTCTCTCGATTGACTGCTAGATGTGTCTCGCGTAACCCGATGCAATGGGTTGGTGCGGAAATTGTCGAGGATCAAGGTGTAGCGTTAGTAGTAGACGCATGCACATCCGAACACGGAGACTCCAGATTTATCAAATTGTATGCGGAAATGAACTACGGTGGACAGTCAAGTAGTCAACATTTTGTACCATCCATTGACTCCATCGAGCCGCTGGTCAATCCGAAAGATATGAATGTGTCACCCCCGCTGCCGCCACCACCTCAACCAATTTTTGAGGAAATATTGTCGGCCAACGACATGTTCGATCCAGCTTGGCGTATGGACAATTCTAACGAAGAGGTGGACGAAGGTCTTGTTTCGGTCAGTGACTCAACGGATACGGATGTCGGTGGTGATTTCGATTGTTGTCCGTCTAGTGCAGTTGGTTAACCAATTCCTTCTCAGCACCATAATACAAGGTTATACAGAAAGAGTATACGTACCTCATGGTTGCGCAGGCACGCAACGTGATAGAAACCAGCCTGCATTAGCCACAACCAGATCTCCTCCGGTATATCCATGTGATCGTGTGTAGCAGCATGTCTGACATTAATTACACAATCCTGCACATTTGGATCCTCACAGGTATTTCACACATGTGTGGACATATGTTTCTCCTGCAATGTCAGGAGATAACGGTTGGAGGGTCCATGGTCAATCACGCTGCGCAGAGACCCAGGACGAGGTATATCGTCATGCTCCATAGATCTGTTTAGAAGAATAATTAAATGATATTAGCCTTTACTTTGATATTAATTAATCACCTATACAGTCGCAATAACATATATTACCAGTACCACTAATATTAAAATATAAAATGTAACTTGTATTATAAATTTAGATATATTAAAAAATCACAAATTATCCTACACATTAATTCATCGAAAATTAACAAGTCCTCTAACCTAAGGTTTCGAGATCTAAGATAAAATAGGTAAAATAATGACTACACAATATATTTAATATTATTTTGTTCCAATATATAATAATTTATCACATGTCCTACATTTTTAATTATTACCCTAAATTTAACCTAGACATTTAATTAATATAATAACATTCACACATTGCCTATATCCTAGAGTTTAAAACAAAAAATTAAATATCATCTAACCTAAGGTGTCAAGTCCTAAAGTAAATATTTACAAAGTTAAAAATATAAAGTATATTGGTGTTAATTATTATCCTAAATTTAACCTAGACATTGAATTAATATAATAACATTCACACATTGCCTATATCCTATAGTTTAAAACAAAAAAATTAAATATCATCTAACCTAAGGTGTAAAGTCCTAAAGTAAATATTTACAAAATTAAAAATATAAAATATATTGGTTTTAATTATTATCCTAAATTTAACCTAGACATTTAATTAATATAATAACATTCACACATTGCCTATATCCTAGAATTCAAAACAAAAAAAAAATATCATCTAACCTATGGTGTCAAGTGGTAAGTGAATATTTACAAAATTAAAAATATAAAATATATTGGTTCTATCCTATGCTTTTAATAAATTAACACATCTTCTAACCTAAGGTTTTAATTCTCAACCCTAAATAATATTCAAAAACTAACAATGCATAAATAATAAATTAAAAAAATTATTAATGCATGAATAATAATTAAAGAACCACCAAGTGGGGATACCGGAGGGAGCCAACTCGTCTCAAAGAGATAATTAGGGTTGGGTAACTCCAAAAAAAAATAATTAAAGAACCACGAACCTTCTAGAGAGAGAAAAACTATGAATTTATAAAGAAAGAGGAAGTGAGAGAGTGAGAGAATCTAAGAGAGAGTGAGAGATAGTGGGGGGGGTGGGGAAATAGGGGAGGGAGAGGGTTTAAATAGGCTGACAAATGCACCAAGTTCACTACACAAGAACTTGTGCATGTGTGACATGTGGCCCAAACGAACTTGCTGGCAAACGTAAACCTGACACGTGTCCTGCCATAGTCTGAGCAAGGACTGACATTTGACTATGTAATTTGTTGGCCAACAGAAACCTGCCACATCAGCAAACATAATTCGTTGTTATGGGTACCGAATTACCACGTGTGGCTTTCTAGAAATTTGTACTGTTCGCGTGACATTCTGGTTATATGTTTTGTGAACAATGGCAAATTGGTCATTGTTCCAAAAAAATTTCTTAATTTTTAATAAAAATAAATAAATATAAACGAACGAAAATAAATATGTATTATTATTCTATTTTCTTCTATATATGTATACCTTTTTAGTATTACATAATAAGAATTAGACATGGTTATTGGATAGGATAAATAACAACTTAATAGCTGGCTATTGTTCACTACTATGTTGCACCGACACCTACACGGGATACGACAGATACTCCGACACGTTAATTCCAAAAAATGTTAAATTTTGACACGTTAGGACACATTTTGATATTATATAA